TAAAGATGTTAATAGCTTTTAAAAAAAATTTGAGAGTTAAATGCAAATTGGTTCTCTTTATTTGACTACAAGCTTTGACGAATAGAACGATGAATTAATAGTTGCGAAAGACTAAGAAATGAGAGGACAATTCACCTGAAATTTCGTGGCAACATAATCTCAAAGTTTTTTAAAAAAAAAAAAAAAATTTAACTGTGAAGTTATTGGGTTTTTTCCTTGTTTTTGTATCCAATTGTATGTTATACATGCTGATTCTTGTATATAGTTCGTTGCGTGTGATGTTTATTTTGGCTCGTTTTTTACGTTGTACTAGTGTGGTACCCGTGCCCAGTGCGGAATAATATTATTGAAAAAAACTTATATATCATATTTGAGATTTGATAAATTAATAGATAAAAAATGCAATATATTTAAAATACAAGAAACAAAATATAGTTTTATAAATTATAAAATCAAAATTATTAAACCATGAGAATCTAAAGTTATTACAACAAACCAAAATAATATTAAAACAATTAAACACCAAAATAATTAATAAGAAAATATATGATATTTTATAACTCGAGGAAATAACCATATTCCAAACCACGACATGCCAAACCACGAAGGATAGCACCAATAAACACCAAAATAATCAATAAAAAAATATACGATATTTTATAACTCAAGGAAATAACCATATTCCAAACCACGACATGCCAAACCACGAAGGACAGCACCAATAAACACCAAAATAATTAATTAGAAAATATATGATATTTTATAACTCAAGAAAATAACCATATTCCAAACCACGACATGCCAAACCACGACAGGCAGCAGCAATAATCCTCTTAGATTCACCCTCACCGACAATATTTGAAAGAATGGATACGTAGTCATCCATCACACTTTTAGAAGACCATAAAATAGTTTAGAACAAACCAAACGTAGYAGGTGCATCTATAAACGCAMGATATACTACTCCACMGACAGTTKAYATATCTTCGAAACAYGTTGGACATATAACAAACCCAAGTAATAACCAAAATAATAAATATCATCAGTAAGTYATGGAACATTAACTAATCATTAATCTTTCGCGGACATTAAAGTTTTGAAAATTATATTGTATCCCTTCCRCCTCRCAAACTCATAATTRCAGGCTRTCAATGCCATAWCTTCTCCTTTATGGAYTTTYTTTTCCTTCCAATTTTCTCACTTGTGATTAGTGACATAGGGAGCATTGTGTTGAAGGCAAATCTGCTTGGAGCAGAAGCGAGGACTCTAATCATTTCTCGTTCAACAATAGATGATATTGTCTATTTGGCCTCAACGACKATGGAGGTGTTGATTCCCTCCCTCTCTTAGTGGTTTCGATTAGGATCTTGTTTGTCCATTGTCGTTTACTACTTTGCTTAAAACTTTCGAGTTCTCTTCTACCCCCAAGGCTCTACTTGAGTAGTTGTTGCTTTCATTTTACCATTTGCTTAATCAATATGTTGGTTGTAGCTTTGGGTTGTTTAGCTATTTGTGGCTTTGTTGTATCATTCCTTAGTGAATGTTAAACTCTTTAAGGTTAATGAAATATCGGTTTGACAAAAAAAAAGCAATCAATTATCAATAATAGCATTTCGACATATAGTAGAGAAGTGCAGATATGAAGTAATCATTTAAAATTGTACACGGTTTCATTTTATGGTTTTACATAAAAATGCATTTGTTATAAATGATTTAAATCATCAATTTAGCGTGGTCTTTCTTCTGTCAGCAATAACATATCCACATTGTGTCATTTCATCAAGCAACTTGATCGATTATTA